GGTCGTTTAAAAAGAAAAGAGAAATTGTCCAAAGTATCTCTTTTCATCTCTGTCAAGTTTGTTCCCTTTTCACAGAGACAAATGTAATAACAGGAAGTCAAGACTTTACATTATTTTACAATCTCCACAAACCTCGAATATCTCTACGTGACGTCACAGCAAAGTTTTCTTTAAATTGGGGGCTGTGTCGTTTTGTTCTTGTTGTCGTTGTTGAGAGTCAGTTTAAAGTGGTAAGTCATTAGCCGGGTAAATTTATAGAAACCCTCCCGTCTCATAAAGGGTATTATTTTGTAGCTTTTTAGAGGTTTTTTAGGATCCTGAACACGATTTTAGCATTGAAATGGTTAGTTTAAATGTTACGGTTTAGAGCTTTTTAATCTTATATCCGACGGCACTAAAGTGGTGAAGGAGCTGACTTCCGGTAGTGGATGTGACGCAAAACGTGTGCTTCTATAAATATCGAATACAGACTTAACTTAAAGAACATTTTATACCACTTACAAAAATACATAATACTTATCATAATTCCCGAACAATCTAATGCTGAAAATGGGAAGACAGAAAGGCGAAGCATGGGGCACGGAAGGGAAACTCCGGGGCGGGCGAGAAAGAGGAATGAACAGAGAGAGAGAGAGAGAGAGAGACAGAGAGACAGAGAGACAGAGAGACAGAGAGAGAGACAGAGAGAGAGAGAGACAGAGAGAGAGAGAGACAGAGAGAGAGAGAGACAGAGAGAGAGAGAGAGAGAGAGAGATCGAAAGAGGGAAATATAGACAGGAGGAGACCGACACACATACACAGACACACGCACACACACACACACACACACACACACACGCGCGGGCGCGCGCGCGCCAGACACTCAAAGACACACAGACACACAGACACACAGACACACAGACACACAGACACACAGACACACAGACACACAGACACACAGAGACAGAGTTAGGGATGCTGGACAGAGAGGCGGGGGCAGAGAGCGAGGAGGGGACAAAAAGAGAATAGACAACAAGGAAGTTAATGGGAGAGAACGTATAATACGACTAAGGAACAAACATGAGAAAGAAAGATTTAAACAGAAAGACAGAATGACGATCAAGGTAGCACACATTAGGAGAAAAAAAACTAAGGAAAAAGAAAACTAAGCGTGTAGGAATCAGGCTCTCGTCAATTTTGGGGCATGTAGAGTTATTGATATCATCTTAAAGCTTGTTCACTTGTCTTTATTTGGATGGAAAAAGTATCCATGTATCTTGAATACAAGTCGAGATATTTGCAAAAGAAGAAGGTGGGGGTCACTTGTTTTCAGAGGTAAAATTAGTCAGAAAATGGCCGCCAAAGATTAGTTATTTCTTAGCTTAAGAGTCAGTGGTAACTGAAAATTTACATTTTTCGTGTCTTTAATCAACGTTTTTCAGAAAACTCCACACATAAATGAGTTCTTTAATGGGCATGAAAGGTGTTGAGCCAGAAAAAAAAATTAATAAAAACTCACAAACCAGTAGAAAAATGCACGTTTCTTCACTTTGGTTATTTTGACGAGAGCCTGATTCCACCACGCTGCCTCACAAATGTCAATACCATATAGATCACGTTCGTTTGAGTTAAGATCATCGATTAACGAATAGGATTATCCACTCCTAACATCTTTGAAAACGAAAACAAATTATGCAACAGACCTTTAGTAATCTTATTTTAGATGAAAAAAAAAACGCCAAACGAATTATTTTTCACCGTTCACGTCATTGGGCGAGATAAATCAAAGCTTTCTTTTCACTGCAAGCACGTCCTTTCAGCGTCTGTAGCAACAGATGGTTAGTTGGGGATTGTTTACCACAACTTCATCCCTCTCCTGGTATTCAACCTGCCATCGTAAACAAAGCAGGAGGTTCTAGCGAGCCTCAGGTAATGGATTACTGGAAGAGGCGGGTGCAAACATTTCACAATAACATAAATTAATGGGGGGGGGGGGGTTTAAAGACTGAATGAAGCAAAGGGTATATCTCTCGTTTCTCAAAGTTATGTTTCTGCAGGCGTTTTACGGATACTTAATCTGTCTGTCTGTCGTATGTGTGTGTTTGTGTTTGTGTATGTGTGTGTGTGTGTGTGTGTGTGTGTGTGTGTGTGTGTGTGTGTGTGTGTGTGTGTGTGTGTCTGTCTCTCTGTCTGTCTGTCTATATGTCTGTCTGACTCTCTTTCTCTCTCTCTCTTTCTCTCTCTCTCTCTCTCTCTCTCTCTCTCTCTCTCTCTCTCTCTCTTTCTTTCTTTCTCTCTCTCTCTTTTTCTTTTTCCCTCACGCTGTTTTCCTCCATAGATAGTGCACGTGTGTGTGTGTGTGTGTGTGTGTGTGTTTGTCTGTGTGTGAGTGTGTGTGTGTGTTTGTCTGTGTGTGAGTGTGTGTGTGTGTGTGTGTGTGTGTGTGTGTGTGTGTGAGAGTGTGTGTGCGCGCGCGTGCTGTGCGGGTGCGCGCTCACGTCGACGTGTCTGTCTGCAAGTATAACAGTTCTATATCGGGCTTATAATCAGAAAACTTACGATGCATTAAAAGTTGGCAGCTCTCTTTCAAGAAACCGATGCATTCATTCACATTATGATGCATAAAAGAGCTAATTATACCCCGTCCACGAACGCGCAACTCTGTGCGCTTTTCCATTGTGCTCAAGACGCTCTATACAATACAATATTTCCTCCTCTTTACTTTGACAAGTCAGCTCTGCTATTTATGGGGTGCCTTCTTTCATCAGGGTCATCAGATAGAAAGATAATAGCCAATTAGCATTGTCATCGGTTTCTTTATCATTATTCCCAAAATTAGATTCCCGTCTTCTTATTATTCTGGGTTTTTTTTCTCTAAGCTCTCTTGCACAAAAGGCAGTGCACCACAAGTCTCTTGAACAAAAGAACCTAACTGACTCTATGTGTTTTACGAGGACAGATTTAGAGCACTGTGTTAGTAGAGGATCCTATATATAGAGGGAGGTTGGGAGGCTTTCTGCAGTTGTCGAGGCGTCTCCCTGAAGCTGCTGAATCACACTGACAACAGGTATGACGGTTTGTTTCTCGTTATCATCATCATCTTCATCATCATCATCATCATCATCATCATCATCATCATCATCATCATCATCATCATCATCATCATCATTACGCAATTGTTTTGCTAACCTCAGTCTAGCTAATTTCAAAGCTTTGAAAAGTCGAACTAACCTAATTTATTAAATTTTAACAAGCACCAGGACAGAGGTAATAATTTATACAAGAACAGAACTCAATGTTCTCCGGGCTTTGGGTGCGACGTTAAGTTAAAGATGCCTTAGGTGTACCTTACTAAATGCTTGTCTATTCATGTACATGTGTAAAACATGTACACGTTGATTAAACCAATGTGAGGCAGCGTGTTGGAATCAGGCTCTCGTCAATTTTTGGGCATGTAGAGTTATTGGTATCATCTTAAAGCTTGTTCACTTGTCTTTATTTACACGGAAAAAAACATCCATTTATATAGAGTACAAGTCGAGATATTTGCAAAAGAAGGAGGTGGGGGTCACCTGTTTTCAGAGGTAAAATTAGAGAGAAAATGGCGCCAAAGATAAGTTATTTCCTTAACTTAAGAGTCCGTGGTAACTGAAAATTTACTTTTTTGTGCCTTTAATTAACGTTTTTCAGAAAAATTTACACAGAAATGAGTTCTTTAAAGGGCGTGAAAGGTGTTGAGCCAAAAACATAAATTTGATAAAAATTCACAAACCTGCTTTAAAAAATGCAAGTTTCTTCACTTTGATTATTTTGATCATTTATTCTCTGTTTTCTATTACATGCAGGCGACTCAGTATCAGCAGCTGCAATTACTTCTTCATTTCTCTGCCTAGTTTTGATGTTTTTGTAAAACACCAACAGTTCCTTATCAGCTGCAGCTGTCCTCTCTATTTTCTTGCCCATAAGAACTCATTTTCTGTGTACGTGTTTTGCCATCTGTATCTGTATAGAGCTTAGAGCATGTGTTCTTCAATCGGGGTAGAGCACTTTATAAATTGTCATTTTCATTTTATTGTTTGAAATGATTTAAATTTATTTAAGATTCTGTCAATGAGGGTGCTAGATCTAAACATTTACATTATTTCTGTGTTTCTTGAGAGATCATTAACAAAAAACAAACAAAAAAAGAAAGAAACCAGAACGATTTACTTATCATTATTAATTTCATTATTTTGTCTCATCCCCAGTAGCCATGGACCTTCAAGGACTTGTACAAGCGATCACTCTCGTCAGTGCTATGGCCCTTTTCTTTTACGGTAAGCGATAGAACTGACGTGTACCAAGTGCCCAAGAGCAACAACTATAAAGACAATTTTCATTCACATACATGTATTAATGTTTTTCCTTCTAAAAACTGGTTAGACATTGTGACACCCTTAGCTTAGTGGCCATTCTCCTTGGCTGCCATGCTGATGGCATTGTTATAAATCCCTATCAGGGGCGGGGGAGCGGGTGCTGGTGTTCTTGAACTGGTATTGTTTAGAGAGATTTCGTGGCTGTTCACCCACTTGATTTGATCAAATCGAAGATGAGCACAAGATATTGTCATTCGCTTACGTCATTTTTGGCCGGTTTGGAGTTTTTAGTTTTGAAATGACGGGCAGAGCCAGTTTAGTAATAAAGTTCACAAGGACAAAAGAACAATCCCAGCATAAAACCAACTGATTGTACCAAAATCCAAGCATTTAACAGAGTCAATTGTTCGAAAGAAGAAGTTTTTTTTCTCTCATTTCCTCAAAATGGCTGAATATGACATTGGCATTTATCTTATGAACATGACGACATGAGGGCAGCCTTCTCAGATATGCCGACAACCTCACAGTGTTCAAAGGGGCATCACACCCGTGCCCGTTGATACGTAGTTGGCACGTGCTCTGGTGTGGTTGACTTATTCTTTCCTTTCAAACATCTATCGTCCTTATCTCTCTTCCTTTTTAGTGTGTGTTTGTTACTCACTCGTAACAAATGTAGACTTCGGCACGTAGATCTATATGACCTAATTGTGTTGCAAGTGCCATGAAACTCTGTACTAAGACAACCAAACCCATGCCATCCCTCGCCAGGAATACCATCCCTGGAGGCGTAGGATCATGCGACGAGTCGTCACCTTAGAATCACAAAGTTCTATCTGACATACATGTTTGGCCGTTTTGGTTTACTAAGACCAATAGGTCAGATACCAAATTATATGCTCTATAAAAATCGAAAGATTATTCGAAGTCGTTATCAACCAAGATATTTAAAATATTGAATTCGTAAAAGCTTGACATATTATTATTGTGAAACTTTATTTTTACCCCAAATTTATCAAAATTATGTACTGAACAGACATAACTTTGTAGTTCTAAGATAACAAAATGTCGTCGTCGAGATTATTACAAACGGTGTGTTCATCTTTTCTGTTTTTTTGCCCGATGTTGACGACCTTCTCACACTACTACTATTACTCAGAACTAAGTCATTTCGAAGGCAGGAATGTCTTCTCCGGCGGAAAGTGTAAAGAAAGAGGTGTAAAAGTAAAAGTTTTGTCCTCCAAAACTCTGCGTATCACCACCATCACATTCTAATATTTCCTGTTCCTGTAAGACAAAGTTGCTACCGAATGGTCGTCCCAATGGTGACTAAATTCAACAGGTGTGGGAAGCTATACTTTACCTTTTTTCCGAAAGAAGGAACAATGAGAAAAGAAGACAGAATGAAAGTACTATTGCAAAATAACACGGATAAATCGGTGTGTGTGGGGGGGGGGGGGGAGGAAGTGGGGAGGGTGTGTGTGTAGTTGGCAAGTTGGTTGGGGGGGGGGGGGAGCTACACCTTCTAGTAAAGTGCAGGGTTGTTTTTTGTGGTGGCACGCGGAATCAAGCTTCCGTGCATTCGTGGGTTTGGCCTAGCTGCCCACATCCACGAGTGGAAACAAAAGCTTTTAGATGCTCGAAATGTTGCGAACTCATTTCTTCCGGAAGTTGTCTTTTTGGCCGTCGCAGAAGCCACAAGTTCTCTTAACCCAAATATGATTCATTGATTTCGCTTCAGAGACGCTCTCTTTTGCAAATGTAAAGGACATCGTCAGACATTGACGGACGAACTATTATTAATTATCACCATAGCGAACAATCTTTTCCTTTTTTTCCCCTATCAAACATCTACTGTCATGTTATATATCTCTCCTCCTTCTTTTCTTTGTATGTAACTCTCTGGTAAAAAGTAAAGTTGTTCCCGTGTCCGATCCGGACATTGGGGATTGCCTTGTTAGTGAGACAACTTCCTGGGTCTTCTGCATGATATTGTGGTAGAGTAACTCTCTGGTAACATCTCTAATTGTCAGCACTCATATTACTTAATTGTGTAGTAAGTTCGGTAAAACGCTTATTAAAACCAAAAACTAAACACTCAGGGCGGGTGTTTGGCGGGTGCTCTGGTGTGGTTTGCTTCTTTTTTCCTATAACACATCTATCGTCCTCATCTCTCCTCCTTCTTTTTTGTGTTTGTTACTCTCTTGTAACACCTCTTATCTTCGGCACTTGTATAACTTTTTTGTGTTGCAAGTGCCGTAAAACTCTTACTAAAATTAAAACCTCTAATTTTCAGCGCTTGTATTGCCTAATTGTGTTGTATGTACGGTAAAACTCTTATTAAAACCCAAAACTAAACCATCATTTCCCATCATTTCTCCCACAGTGAACCCCATGAACGCGCTTTGCGCCGCTCCAGTCGAGTGTGGACTGTGTAACAATCAGTCCGAGGCCTGCTACCCGTAAGCCGACCAAGCAACGAGAACCGGAATGTTACAACGAACTCCTTCTCAACTTTTCAAACGATGACGACCTGGACTACTCCTTTCCTTCAAAGCTCTTTGAACTTCTTATAATAACCTTCTCTAAACAACAAGAAAGCATGATAATCCCACACGGTGTGCTTTAAGTCTGGGAACCTTCAACTCCCACGATGTTCGTCAGCTTTCTTCTTCTCTTCTTTTTCCCACCCCCTTTCCCGCTGTGGATCCTTTCTCTCTGCCTACTTCTCTGTCTGTTTGTCTGTCTGTAACCCTCCCTGCCCCCACCCCGCTTTACCTTTAAAAAAACAACCCAACTCTTTTCACTGAAAATTGACGAAGAGAAAAATTGTTCTACACTCTCTCTGTCTTACACAAATGCTCCATCAACAATGTTATTTATTATGCATGTATGTAAATAACCAATACAATCAAATAATTGAGTACCTTATTAATCGTGTACAGAATAAATAATGCTCATCTGCCGTGCATAACTTATGTACCAGAATAAAACTTCACAACATCATCTTGAGACGTTTTCAATGTTTTTTTCTCTTTAACTATTTACTTTTCTCCCCCTCTCCGCCTCTCTCTCCCGCTCTCCTCTCTCTCTCTCTCTCTCTCTCTCTTTCTCTCTCTCTCTCTCTCTCTCTCTCTCTTTCTGTATGTGTGGGGGGGAGGGTCTCTCTCTCTCTATCTATCTGTCTATCTATCTATCTATCTATCTATCTATCTATCTATCTATCTATCTATCTATCTCTCTAGTCTATGTCTGTCTGTCTGTCTGTCTGTCTGTCTGTCTGTCTGTCTGTCTGTCTGTCTTTCTTTCTGTTTGTATATATTTATACATACATATATATGCACAACGCCTCTCTTTAATGTACGCCTTAGAAACAAGATTCAAGAGACGTGGACAGCAATTTTTGAGACGGACGAGGAAACCTCTAGCGGGGATGACACTGAAACTGAATTGCGGGGGAAGAGTCGTGTCGCTGTCTCAAAATGCGCAAAGTGTAGGCTAAGTTACTCAGTTGGTGGTTGGCGGGTGCTTTGGTGTGGTTTGCTCCTTCTTTCCTGTCAAACATCTATCGTCCTGATCTCTCCTTTTTTATGTTTGTTACTCTCTTGTAACATCTCTAATCTTCGGCACGCATTGACCTTATTGTGTTGCAAGTGCCGTAAAACTCTTACTAAAAACTATAACTAAGTTACTGAAACTTTCAGTGAAAGCCATTATTTTAGTGACCCCGCGTATGCATCCAAAGTGCGCTTTTTAATGTAGGGTTTAAAAAATAATTAAATTTTGTTGTTGTTACTGGATCAAGATTGACCCCGCTTATGCATCCAAAGTGCCCTTTTTAATGTAGGGCTTAAAAAATAATTAAATTTTGTTGTTGTTACTGGATCAAGATTTATTTTTTAAATGTATGTTTTGTTTGGTCGCTGGCTTGCAGAAGTTCCGTGCAAAGTTTTGTGGGCACAAGTAGATTAATAAATGAGTTAGATTTTTTTTAAAACACGGACTGATGAGAGTAACAAACACAAGAAAGAGGAGAGATTATTAACGACGATAGATTTGTTGTTGTTGTTGTTGTTGTTGTTGTTGTTGTTGTTTTGGTTTTTTTTGTGTTTTACCGCTCTCGCAACAGCATAAGGTCACATGGTTACATACATGCATAATAAATAGCATTGTTGATGGAGCATTTGTGTAAGACTGAAAGAGTGTAGAACAATTTTTCTCTTCGTCAATTTTCAGTGAAAAGAGTGGGTGATTGTAGGGTGTCGTTGGTAGGTCCTACTCCTTCATCATCATCATCCGGTGCCTTGCCAACTGGCGTGGGCGATCATGGACCTCCACTTCCACTTCTCCTTCACTGTACCTTTATTGTGTATGTTTGTCTGTCTTGCTCTTTTTATTATGTTGATGTTCTCTACGTTACTTAAATTTTAACAAACACTCACTTCGTGGGTGGTTGGCGGGCGGTCTGATATGGTTTGCTCCTACTTTCCAATCAAACATCTATCTCTGCTCTCGTGGTCTAGAGGTTAAGGTGTCGCTTCTCATTCGATAGGGCGAGGGTTCGAATCCGGATAGCTACAGAAAATGTTCTTCTCTTAATATTCTCCTTTCACGTCCTTTCCTGCTCTCTAACAATGTTGTCGTCTGTTTTCGTCTCCACTCCCCCCCCCCCCCCTCTGGGCTCCTGACTCTTTCTGCAGACTTTCTACTTCTACTCCTTGGCTCCTTTTTATTGCTGTCTTTCAGCCACACCCCTGATCTTATGGAAGGAAAGATCTACACCTAGGCTTCTCAGACTAGGGCAAAAAGTCTCGGGGGTCCCGTTTGCAAGCTGCGCCCGTTAATGATCCCTTGGGGGTCAAAAATTGGTAAGAGTAGGCTTCGGCCGCCACCCAGGCAAAATTCAAAATTTCCGACCAAATGAAAAATAAATTTTTAACGTGTCCCACGCGCTCATGTGACCTTATGCTGTTGCGAGCGCGGAAAAACACACCAAAAACAACAACAACAACAACAACAACAAATCTATCGTCGTTAATAAACTTTCCTCTTTCTTGTGTTTGTTACTGTCTTGTAACACCTCTAATCTTTGGCATTCGTATGAACTAATTGTTTTACAAGTACCGTAAAACGCTTACTACAACAAAGAGAATAAAAAAATCTTCCCACTCACTTCTCATTCTCGTCGATCAGCTTGGCCAAAAGCACTGCCGTGAAGGCCTGGGTGCCGCCACCTATGCAGTACACAGAGCTGTGAGTGGATGGCCGTGTGCCACTGCTTCTGCTGTCGTAATATCCTTTATTGTAAGATGCGACGTCTTCCAGAGCTGGAAGATAAGATAGGATAAGATAAGATAAGATAAAACATTATAAGATAAGATGAGATAAACATTATAAGATAATATAAGATAAGATAAGATAAAACATTATAAGATAAGATAAGATAAGATAAAACAATATAAGATAAGATAAGATAAAAACATTATAAGATAAGATAAGATAAAATAAAATAAAACAAGATAAGATAAGATAAGATAAAACATTATAAGATAAGATAATATAAGATAAAACATGATAATATAAGATAAAACATTATAAGATAAGATAAGACAAGATAAGATAAGATAATAATTATGTTGTTGTCCCAGTGGGTAAAAATACGAAAAAAATACTTGTTTTGTTTTGGTATTATTTTACTTTGTTTCGTTTTTTTTTTTTTGTGCCTTTTTAGCGTTTATTTTTTGTTCTTGTTGATGAGGTAATTTCTAATGCATGGCATTTTTGTGTTGATGGTAACACTGTCGTTTGAGGTGTTAGTGCCGTTAATCGTTTCATTGTGGTTCAGGTAGGACTTTGAACTCATCACCATTGTTTTGATCTTCTCGTTACTTTTGTTGTTGTTTTTATTTTTACAATTAATTGCTGTTTTCATTGTTGCCGTCGTCTGTGTTGTTGTTGTTGTTGTTGTTGTTGTTGTTGTTGTTGTTGTTGTTGTTGTTGTTGTTGTAATGTGATGATGCTGTTGTTGTTGTTGTTGTTGTTGTGTGATGATGCTGCTGTTGTTGTTGTTGTGTGTTGAAGCTGTTGTTGTCATGTTGTTGTCAACATTTACATGTTGGCGACGTTTTCGTCGTTGTTGTTGTTGCTACTGCTACTTCTGCTGGTGCTGCTGCTGTTGCTGCTGCTGCTGTGGCTACTGCTGGTGATGCTGATGCTGATGCTGCTACTGCTACTGCTACTGCTACTGCTGCTAAGAACTGAAGACATCCTCAGCCTACGTGGGGTTTGATGGTAGAGCAAGAAGCTGTTCAGTGTCACAACCACCGGGTAAAGGTAATTTTCTTTAATATATTATGCTATAATAATAATTTATAGTACGAGGTTCCTCATTAGTACTCCTGTAATTTCCCAGGAAGGAACAACTACGTGCTTTGCACTTCTTGGCCCTTGTTAAGCCAGTATTCCAACCACGCCCCACAATTGGCAAAACATACGGACATCATACTTTACAAGGTGGTAGCTGAAATAGAGAGGTGAGGATTGGAAGGACAAGAAATATAGATGGGATGAAAAAAAAATGAAAGGTAGAGGGGAACATATACGAAGAGGGGTGAAAATGCAGAGTTCCGAAGAAAGGTTAGACAATATGTGAGGCAGCGTGGTGGAATCAAGCACTCGTCAATTTTTGGGCATGTGGAGTTATTGGTATCATCTTAAAGCCAGTTCATTTGTTTATCTTTCGGTGAAAAAAGTGCCCATCTATTTTTTATAGAAGTCGAAATATTTTTGATTGAAGTAGGTAGGGTAACCTGATTTTAGAGGAGAAATAAGGGAGAAAATGACCGCCAAAGCTTGGAATCTTTCAATGCGTGAGAGTCCTTGAAAACTGAAAATTTACATTTTTTTGTACCTTTAATCAACGTTTTTCAGGATAATCCACACAGAAATGAGTTTTTAAATGGACATAAAAGCTGCTGAGCTTAAAACAAAAATTTGATAAAAATTGCCAAACGGGCAGAAAAATGCCAATATCTTTAATTTAATTAAATTATTTTGACGAGAGCCTGATTCCATCACGCTGACTCACATATTTCCTGAGACTGAAATGCCAAAGAAGGCGTGCTCTCACATCAGAGCGAAGAGATACACAAAACAAACAAACATACAAAAAACACGCCCACGCACACATAAACGTATGCACTGCTCTATAAATGACATATCAAATATAAGGAGTGTTGAGAATGAAAAAGACACAATAGAAGAGTACAACTTTCGTGATTTCATTACTCGTGTCAGGAAATGAAATTCAACTGAATTATTATTGTGTTAATAAAGGCAGAGGAACAAAGGCAAAGCGGCCGGTCCTCAGCAGTTTCCATAGGAGGCCCAGAATCATCAAGCAGCTTGCCCGGGATAGAGAAAGGTGTATTTTTTTGTCTACTGATGATGATGATGATGATGATGATGATGATGATGATGATGATGATGATGATGATGATGATGATGATGATGATGAT